TCTCTGTGCCAAATTTCAACCAGATCCATTCAGCCAATCCAAACATCTAATCTTTAACATTTATAATATTAGTGAGATTAGTAAGATTTATAAGTACTTTATTAATATTATTTTTTATTTGCTAAGATTCTCATTTTACTCACTTAAACAGTCTTGATCGTATGTAGGTACTCATATCGGTTTTTATCAAAGGCAATCTTCACTATCAAAGGTCTCCAGATCTCGATTTACCTTTGAAAATATTTTTGTCGTAAAATATTCCTACAAATTCTATAATAAGTACTATGGCACTCAATGACATTATAAAATGTTGTTTATTTTTGGCAGAGGAGGAAGAAGGCATAAAAATATTTTTTTTGGAGGGACTGATGAAAAGCTCATTTTTAGCGTAAATATGAATAAAATATTATGATATAATGTAAGATAACTCTGGAAAAATCAGCATCATGTTTTAAAACTCATATATTTTAACCACATATGGTTACAATTTTTTCGTAAACACCTATTCTCAACAATTTCTTATTTCTTTTTTCCAGTTAAAAATCATGGCCAGCATCCATCTTTGTCCACTCCTCGTCAACCAATGCCCCTTTATTTGTTTTTCTAGACTTTCTATTTTTATTTGTATCTCTTCCTTATTTCTTTTTCTTCAGCCTGCCCATACTCGTGATTTTTATGTGGCTGTTTTATGAAGGTATCTGTAATTTGTGCATTCCTGTCATCAATGTGGTTAGCATAATCAATTAATGACCGTTTTATTATATATTAAAATAGACCTTACAATATTGCACAATCAAACTCATACAGGTTTGTGCAAACCGAAAATGCTTCAAGTCATGATTAGCTAATAAATAAATATGACAAGGTACAACCTTAAATTATAGTTAAAATATCATATATCTGTCTGTAATGTATTTGTAACACATATCTCTATAGAAATATCGCTTTGCCTTGTAACGGCTGGCATCGATTTCGAAAATATCCTATTAAAGAAAGAAGAAGAAAAAAATTATATATATGAAATGAAACACCCCTTTCAGTTATCTTTTACTTTTAGTATAGTTATTTTATTTTCTCTATTCCTTTGAAAGAATCATTGAACTGAGTTAAGCCATACAATCATCTTTTCCACTTCTAAACTACCTTACTCTTTTATGGAATAAAAAATATTCTTTAGTAACCCTCTCTTCGCTCGGTTGAGTACTTGGGTATCTAACGGTAACGTCACGTAAGTCACTGTTAAATACTAGGCCAGGTCATAGTCCATCTGTATACTAAATCTCATCCAGCCGTTTCTACGCGAAGGAACAAATAGTATGTAAGTGTCTGTAGACTGTGTGCTTAGACACGCGCGCGTTCCGACACAACTACATACATATAGTAGTCTGATTACTCTCGTTTAAATTGTCTATCCGCTTGTAAAATAGCCAATTAATATATATAATAATATGTTATTGTATTTGTGTAGATTTAAAGGTATCCATTATGTTGTAGTGGTAGTGCTGAAGCGCATATTTTGGCTGTATAGCAATTGTATCGCGCCACAAACCCCGACCGATATCGATTCGTTTGTCACTTATATTATTATTAAAATATATATTGTGCTAGGGATATTTGTAGCTCGCTTAAAGTGATTATAATAAATATATGTAACTTTGGACGTTTAATTCCTCTGCATATTCAACTATAGTGAACACGCAATATTCACCCACACACTAAACTGTATACAAGTACTGTGTGTATCACTCTTCACAAGATACATTTTAATTACTTAATTTAATCAAACAATGTACGTTAGTATAAATAACATGCAAATTGCATACAAACAGCATAATTGAATTGTTCATACTTAACCAAAATTAAGGACAAACAAATTACCAGCGTGCTATTTCAGCGGCATACCATGCAGGAACTACTCGTGCAAGATTTCTATACTTGCTATGAGTTAAAAGCTCTCTCTGAATAACTAAGCGTCTCATAACTTTGCTTTCATTAAACTCTTGCTTGAAGTGCTTCGGTATACAAGTTGCTATTTTCTTTCATATCTATATTCATATATTGAAAATATATTGTCCTACAAATTCCTTTCTAGATTCAATTTATAAAATGAAACTTTAAATGTACTGTTATTTATTTTGTAAAACAAGTAGTAATTAATAAGAAATAATTATTTATGCTACTAAGAAATAAACAAAAACCTCGTTGCCTTGATCGGAATGTAATTATGTATTAAATGTATCTACAAATATTTGGTAATTGCACGATGAGGAGATTTGATAAAACTTTTGTGACGTGAAACAGAATAATCTTAATTTGCAGTTTGCACTATTAAAATTTTATCGGCTTACTTATTTCATATTAAATTAAAAATGGTGAACCAAATTATCACTTCAGTTTAATGTGGTTTTGTAATAGAATGAATAAAATATTATATTTAAAAAATAATTAAATTTGTGAGAGAGATAAGCAAATATAAAAGTTGGATAATGAAAACATTAAAAAAATAATAATCCATGTACATTGTATGTACATAGATTTTTTATAAAATATAGGTAAATATACATTTTAGTTTATGAAGATAACAAGTTTTATGACAGAAATAATAATATAAACCAAATTTTATTAAAAGTTAAAAAATCATTTTATAAATAAACAAATCAATAAAAGACACGAACAAAACATCCGTCGTGCAACGTTTTTTATGAGTATACGGGTGAATATTTGTTGTAGATATGATAATAACATACTAATTTCACACACTTTCCCTGAAAGGATAAGCTGTATGTTCAACAATAAGATATTTTTATAAAAAAAATATTATGAAAATATCGCGTAGCATACGCACAGAAATACATGAATTCAAAACTACCTTCTTTTTCCTTTAAGAATGCCTGTATTCAGCTTCAAACTATAGATATATGATATGAAAAATAACGTCAATCTATCGATTTGCTGTCTGAATAAATACAACAAACAAATATACTTTTATATTTACAACATAATCAAGTTTTTGGAAATACAAATATTTTCTTAGTACTTATTTAAGTATCAATTCCCACTTGACAATAGCAAGCTCATTAATTAATGTTATTATCGCGGGAGCAAATGATTGCTCAATAAACACGACATAGCCACTACCACGCTAATTAATCTTCAAACGACCGGCTCCTATTTGGCGGCGTCATATCATATTACAGAAAGATCCATACATGGCCATGATGAATTAATTACCACATCAACATCAGGAAGAGTTCCAGTTAGCATAATATTATAGATTGATTGTAATTAATATATCAGTATTTAACTACATATTTGCGAATTACATGAATTGACACATCCAGATAAATTTCTAAGAAATTCATTAAAATTCTAAGAAATCTATTGTTAACTGACACGCCGGCGTGTCCGCGGTCGTGGAGGGATTAATTTAAAGAAAAAGGTAATTTGACGAGGTGTAAGTATTTAAGTAAGGCATGCGAGGAGGCTCAGACCGCCTTAGGCGTTCTTGTTGATTTCACTGTGGTTCACAACGCGGTAACAATGTGGAATGCGCAATGCTAAATGTTTGTCTGGCGGAAAGAATTCGAAATGAAGTTTCACTAAAGAACACCGACATCACATGCGGGATTAGCATGCTGCTGTCTGCTGCTGAGCTGGTCCTGTCTCCAGACGTATTAATGCTAATGTATAAAAACATTTAAAATTGATATATTTGCCTGTTTTTATGGAAAAGAAATGAAAGAATACCGTTGGATAAAGGATGTGTGTTACAGGCCATTTTTATCGTCATACTCATATTAAACGACCAAAACCGAGAGTGAAAGCTAATGCTAATGCAATTAATAAATAGTTGAAACAATTTTCATACGAAAGTAAACTTTTAGTTTACGTGGATGTTTTAATTATTATTAGTAATTGTGGTTCAGAACAAATACTTTTAATTTGATTGTAAATATTATTTTTAGTGTCGTGTCTCCTTAAATATACATATTATATTATAGTAGAATTTTATTTTAAAACGAATATGTGTTTTATAAGTCATCGTCCTCCAATTTAATTTAAAACTAAAGACAATTAAGATCTAAACAAAAGGAGAATGAAATAAAAAAAATTATTATGTTTACTGAGAAATGCATACAGATATTTTTGTTTTCTTTTTGTGTCTGATTTAGCATTAAATTAATAATAAAATGTTGTTTTAGTAAAATAAAATGGTCATAGTGTGTTTTATTCAGTGTACGTTCCATTATATCTAATAACACTTAACATTTTCTACAAACACTCCTGCTTAATGTACTCGTAGCACTCGTGCGTGACTATCTGCAGTCCATCTGAGGCCCTTCTTAAGTGAACATAAGTAAACTGTACTGGAAATACTTTTTAATAATTAAATCAAATAGTATTGTTCATATTACAAAAGATATTTTATTTTTTGTTAAGGATTCAATTATCATGTAAAGCTTTTATGCTATTCCCCTTAAACGAAAATAGCACAACTGCCTAATAACCGGTTCCAATTGTATTTTCAAACCATCCAATTGGCTATTGAAATATACACACAAACTTTACTCAGCGAGAGTCGTAAGAAGCAGACGTGTTATTGTTCCCTCCGTATTTAAAAATAAACATTTTACAGTTTAAATAACTTTCAATTGTGCATTTTTAGTGAAACGTAAACTTTGTGACCTAATAAAAGTTTTTGTGTGATTATTCTTAAGAATAAAAAGGTTTTAACATGCTTTTTTTGATAAATAGTTCACAAATAGTTCGTTGAGTGACTTTGAAGTGACCTTTTGCGTGCGGTGTACGTGAGTTGAACAACAAAAGGACTCATTAACGACAATCCTCTCTATACGAACCTGTACGCAATTTTCGCCTCTTACGCTACTATCAACTTGGTCTAGTGGTGTTACGCTTTTTACTTCACAAGTCATCCAATGTGTCTTGGTTCAAATCCCACATAAAAATTATAACTTTCTTAAAATAATTTAAAATTTATAATGAAGTTCGCATGTTGTAAATCGACCCGAGGTGGAGCCACTGACTGCATAGTTTGTACTAAATGCAGAAATAACTATCATTATCAATGCTTACATCCTTCGGACAGTAAAAAAGATCTGTCGAACGATTACAAAAAAACATGGATATGTCCAGAGTGCTCTTTAACTCGACCACGACATCTGTACAAAGATAACACTCCCGTTCGCGGTAGTAGTACTGACACTCAAAGCAATTTAAATGACAATATAAATCTGCGTAGAGGCGCCTCATCATCAGTAACCTGTTCGCCGGATAATAACATAATTGAATCTAGTGTATACTCCACATCTTTTCTTGAGCACGTAAAATCAATTATTTCTTCGGAGATAGCTAGCTTGAAGACAGAATTTAAATCTTTTATGTTACCTCTTGAAAATGAAGTAAAGGCTTTAAGACAGGAATTTTTGAGTGTAAGGGAGAGTTTGGAATTTTTTAACTCTAAATTCGAAGAGTTGAACTCTAGAATATTGCACTGTGAGTCAGAGGTTAAGCAATTATCATCCAAGTCGATTGAATTTGGTAACCTAAAATCGAAATTTGAATCCATTGAAATCGAAAATAACAATAAGGAACAGTGGGCGCGCAGATCTAACATCGAAATCTACGGAATTCCTGAGAAAAAGAATGAAAATTTGTTTTCTATTCTGCAAGATATAGCTAAGAAGGCCGATATTAATTTAAATTTAAATACGGACATTGACTTCATTACTAGGGTAGCTCCAAAAAATAGTGAAAATAAAAAAATTAAACCTATTATAGTGCGGTTTTTATGCAGATGGAAAAAGGACGACTTTTTATCATTGGTTCGAAAGCAAAAACTGAGTTGTAATGATTTGGTAACCACGATATTTTTGACCTGCCATGTACTAGAACGAAATATGCTCGAAATACCTTTATAATTCGCTCATGTAATGAGTATAATAAAAAATTTACAAGTATAGACATATTTTCAAATTCACTTTTAAGATTCAAATATAGTATTAATAACCTATTGTTTAATTGTTGATTTTGTATTTTATGTATTTTTTATTTTTCCTTATTTTTTTATTTTTTTTTATTATTCATGTCAAGCAGTGTTTCATTTTGTAATTTTTTAGTTTATTGTTTAGCTTTTTGTTTTTCTTTTTCATTATGGTCTGCTTCTTAAGTGTATTGTTTAATTTGTGGAAACTTCATTGGTTTATGTGTCATCTATTATTATTAATTATGTATGTAATATCGTACTGTTTGTTTCCCTAAAATAAATAAATAAATAAATAAATAAATAAATAAAATTTCATCTAAATCGGTCCAGCCCCTTAGGAAGAGTAAAGTGACAAACACACGTACAGATTACTAACCATCACTATTTATTTATTGAGTTTGTATCTTCATATTTTTGGACAATACCATAAAAATATTAAGGTATCAAAATATTGACTGTTGTAGTTTTCTTTCCGTTTTCATTTCATTTAAGCTTTATCATATTTATCCAAAAACAGACCGAGGGCAAAATATTTTTCATGAATTTAGCCAATTACGGTGTCGAGAAAATGGGTCATTTGTCACAGGCCGAAAAATTCTATTCCGGCTAGATTTATATCCATATCTCTGTACATAACTGTTGTTGATTTGTTGGTATGATTTATTTTTCAGTATTCTTTTAGTTATAGTTAACAATTTTTTCATAAAGATTTTAGTTTTCTTTTAACATTACTAATAAATAAGAATGACATAAATAAATTAATGTGATAAGCATTAATAATAATAGAATATTTTTGATACAATATTATTGAAAAATATGTATATTTATAACAGCCTATATGACATCTATACATACGAGTATAATAAAATTCTTACTCAGTCGAATCTGTATATTAAATATTTTTTTGGAAAATCTTATTGAAATAGTAATTATTGTATACGATACAGAGGCCAAATCTATAGTTTTTAGAATTTTTGTCTGTGTGTCTGTCTGTCTATGACCGCATCACGAGAAAACCAGTTGACAGATTTTGATGAAATTTGGTATGATGATAGCTGGTTATCCGAGTCAACATATAGGATACTTTTTATTGCGGGAAAATATCTCATTTCTGATATATATGTATGTATATACTAAACGTTAAAACGTAGGGACGAACTCGAGCGAAGCGAGGGAGAGTCGCTAGTTTAAAATATTATTATTATATATTTAAGTCAAATAAACCAAGTCTACGGAGTTAAATATAAAATTAGATGAACGTAGAACAGAATGTTTCAGGAAGATGTAGGTGCTACCGCTGTACATATGCACACGTCGTTACATATTTTTTTCATTTTTCTGTATGAAATAAGTAGGAAACTTTATAGCGGTCGTATATTTTCAATTATGTGTCAGTAAACGCTAGCGCGAGGAAAATAGAAGAATATAAAAAAGTACCGTCACGTGCAGGTCCGGTTTCATGCTCGATTTAAAGACGAAAGCGTGGTCCGTTTTCTCTCATGGCGTTCTAAGTAGATTTACATTTTAAGAATAATAGCATTTTACGACCACGGACTCTTAACGTTTAATATGTTTGATGCCTCCAATTAATAATTATTTCCAAATATATATATTGTGTGTATGTATGTACATATAACCTAATATTTAAAAGCGTTTAAAAGTTTGATTTTGTTTATTTTAAGTTATTTCATTAGTGTTAGTATAAAAAATATTAGGTCTTCGTCTCATTATAAGATCTTGTAAAACTTATATACAACAACAAGTTAACAAGTGATAAAATAATTCGAGATATTTCTTTATACTGTCCACATAGACGAAGTCTCTCGTAATCTTATGTAGGTTAACTAGAAATTCCTCAGTGCCGTCAAACATCTTAGTACCAGATTTGCTTAGTACTACGTAGTTAAACTATTGACATATATCATCCAATAGCTTTTAGAAAAAGTACAAATATTTTAGGCGACTGAAATATAAACCTCAATGTAAAAAGTTAAAAGATTTTCTCTGATGGTGGACTAAGATTAATCTGTCGGCGGCTTTGCAACGGATCGGCGATTTACCGCACGATAAAACCTGGGAACAATTTTTCTTCCATCTAGTACCTCCCTCTAGTGATGCATTTGATATATTTTTGAGATCGAATAAATTACGAAGTGTTACCGTTGCTTTATAATATACTTGCTTGCAATGAATTAAGAAAAAGTATTTTTTTACTGAGTTCTCTATATATAAATAGGGAAAAACAAAACGGTTCAGTACCATTTTCTCCTCTGTTTGTCAACCGATTTCCGTTTGTTCTTGTTTAGTGTTATCATTAAAAAAATGAGGACAGTAAGTTTTTTCTGTTTTCCTTGATTTTTTTTATAATAATTATGGTCAAATTTTAACCACTAGGCAACACTAAATACTATTAAATCAATAAATATCTTTTTGTATTTAAGCTTTATAATTTAGCTCTAATTAAAGTATTTAACTATTAATAATGTTGCTTACTAAATTATACTCCTTTTGTATATTTTACAAGCATAATAAAAAATTGTAAATTATCAAACAATTATCGAATATATGTAAGTATGTTACGAATATATATACTTTATTATATGTTTAGGTCTATTAAATAAAAACGGATGAAATGGATTTTCAGGCTGGTAAAGCTTAATACGTTTATATTTACGAGCACTTTTCTTTATTAAATCATAACATACTTGTCTAATATTATATTACGATAAGAGATATCATTTTTCTTCTATGTATGTAATACATATGATGTAAGTCGATCGACACATTTATTTACGAGTATTGCGAATAAAAAAGCCCTGTGTATCAAAATAACTGCTCAGAGGATATAAGTGAATATTTTGGAAGCAAAAAGATCGTTAAGGAAGCAATATATAATAGTATCTAACCATTGGAAATTCAGTAATATCATAAATTTACGTAACGTTTATATTTTTTCTGCTGACATTAACTTATGCTCATATTTTCCAAGTAACTTGCACGTTTTGTCATGTTATATATATATATATATATATATATATATATATATATATATATATGTATATATATATAACAAAAAAACAAAGTCGGGTTTGTTACAACACTTATAACTCGAGAACTGCTGAACCGATTTTTATGATCTTTGATTTGTTGGATTTTTCTCCGCCCCGAATATCAAAATAATTATTAAAACATCGGAAAAAATCACAAAATATTTACATGGCTAACGCTTGCTAATATCTATTTATATCTATTTATAACGTACCTAGCGACGGACCCGAGCGAAGCGAGGGTTAGCCGCTAGTTTTAAAATAAACACATTTAATATAATCGACAAGGAGCAAAAGATCTAGAAACAACAGCCATTTTAATTGTGATACATACTGGTACTATGTGCATACATTCTTGCACAATTTTAATATTTAATTGTGCAAGAAATTAGCGCTTCTCTGAATGATTAATTAATAACCTCGCATCTCATCCACGTGCCACAAGCAGACGAAAATCAAATTTGGTTTGGGTATCAGGCATGCTTGCTAAGAACACACATGCCACTGACATACTCGTAACAGCAATATCTTCTGGACCAAATTATCATCCTCCAGTTCAAAAATCAAATTTACCTTCTGAAGTTTACGCTTGTATTAATAACTTGTTTATATTAGTTAACATTTTATATTTTTTGTATCAAAATATACTTTTTTATTATAAATTCTTTTTTAATAAAAATAGAAAATTGTGATAAATCCTGTCTTCACCATTCCATCTTACGGCCCTAAATAAAATTTAATGAAAAAAGTTTTTGTGATTTTAGCAAAAACAGCAGCCCTTTAGATTAAAAGTTTGACAAATTTTATAGGAGTATAATTACTTTAGGAAACCTTTCCCACTTTGTTAACTTAACTTTCGGATATTGGTGTTGATGTAGTCTAGTCCATTATATGATTTTAAAAGTTATATTACATGATATCATTAAAATAACTTAATAGAAGAAAAACATAAATAGAAAAAATAATCGTATAATAAAATAATATCATGATTGTATGAAGATACTAGCGGAATCCGCGGCTTCGCCCACGTTCAAAGTACTAATAAACAAACTCTTCTTTCCCTTCTCTTTTCATATAATGTATGGAAGTGTGTCCGATTTGTTGATATTTATGATTACTGCTGCGCTCCCTTGGGTAGTAGCATGATATATAGCCTTCCCCAATGAACGGGCTATCTAATGCAAAATGAATTTTTCAAATCGGATAGTTCCTGAGATTAGCGCGTTCAAACAAACAAACAAATAAATAAATTCTTCCTCTTTATAATATTAGTATAGATATAATCTATACATATAATAATATTGTAACTAAGTCGAATCTGTACATTAAATATTTTTTGGAAAATCTAATTGAAATAGACATTATTATCGATGCAGAGTTCGAATCTATACTTTTAAGAATTTTTGTCTGTCTGTTACCGCATCACGAGAAAACCACTGGATAGATTTTGATGAAATTTGGTATGATGATAGCTGGTTATCCGGGTTAATATATAGGATACTTTTTACCGCGGGAAAATATCTCAACTCTAAGAAATTTATACTTAACCGTAAAATGTAAGTAGGGACGAACACGAGCGGAGCGACGGTGAGTCGCTAGTATAACAATATAATGAATACTCACTTATGCAAATTTTCGCCTGCATTATTGAAATACCAGTTCATGTTACATACATAAAGTTAAATACTTACATAAATCTTTCTAAAGACCATGGGGATGTCCAATACAGCCGGTGTGTATCATTATGTTGCCAGTTACTAAGTTAACGTAAGCGACTACCCATCTGCATTTATGTTTTACACTATTCCGCTTTTTTATTATATCAATTCACACTTTTCACAATTCAAACAGAATTAATAATTAAAAAATTATCTTCCTTCATGCTTAAACTAGGTACGATATATCTTCCCCCCCAACGTGCGTTCACCTTGTCGTGGTGGGGGGGCTCAGTAGTGCCCGGCAATCCAATCGGGCGCGAAGCTAAGAAACGCACAGGGAGGTTGCCCACTTCGGTGGGCGGTGGGAGGTGGCCCTCTTTGGGGGGCGGTGTACCATGCGGGTTGCTCCTGGTACTTCTCTGATAGCAGAGTGGACTGCGGAGCAACCCCATGGTTGTGGTGGTCTGCTTCGGCAGACCTGCCGTCGGGGCGTCGTAGTTGAATGCGTAAGCGATCCTGCGACGCCCCATTAAGACGGGGGAAGGTTTTGTTGGGTTTTAGTGGGTAGTACTGGCTGTATTACGCCGGTGAGTCCCACACGTCGTGCGTAAATGCATTTCCCAACGTTAAAAAAAAAAAAGGTACGATATATCTTCATATCGTAATTTAAGCACTTTCATTCATAGAATTTCAAATTGTTATTTCTTTGTAACGTGTAACAGTAATTTAAAACGTGATAATTGTAAAAAATGTCTACCAGCTGGTTCAAGCTTCAGGTTCATAATATAAAAACCTCGAATCGTATAGTTACAAATATTTTTATAGCGACACTGTTCTCGTAAAACATGTCAGAAGTCGTAAACCTCTCAAAATTCAAATGTACCTCGACTATAACTTTCAGT